TAAAAACGAGTATTGTATCTGGATACAACATTTCAGTATCGATACTTTTTTGAGTTTCGATACTTTTGACAACCCTACACATCAGTAACTATATCAGCTGAACTTAGACAGCATGAGAAATGGCTGTTATGGGGTTTATTTTTGCTCCAAATGTGGGTGAATTAAAAAAAAAAATTAAAAGTTTATATTTTTAGAACAGGTTTTTTTTTTTTTTAAAAGGATTTTTAAACTTTAAGCTGAAGGGGGGTAAAAAAAAATGCTTTTAAAACAAAGGACTGTCATAGTTGAATTTTTTCAAAAATGTGACAAAACTGCAACAATCCACGACCCCTGAAGTGTTTCCCGGACCCTACCAGAGAGCACTGACCAATGTCGCTGCTGATCTCAATAATTCAGTTTGACAAGCCCATCCCACCCCCTGAGGTTAAGGACATGTCCAGGACATGACAGACCAAACGCACCAGTTCCTCAGACCAGATGGAGCTTGCACACGTGCAGCAGAGATTATCTTGTTATCCATCAGGAAACTGATCTTTGGTTGGAGGCAATACTATGACGGTTAGATAACCAACTGATTCGTCACCTTACACTTTCCAACCTGAATGCTCCTAATGTTTGGGAAATTCATGGAAAATTCTTGTCAACACTTCACATCCAACTTTTATATCACCACATAGATTATGTTACAGATCTGGAGGGTTTCACACTTTAAGAACACTTTAAGATCAAACTTTTTTTCCTTCTGTAGAGTTCCTCGGCTTAATATAAATGCTATTTAGATTTCAGCGTGCATGTTTCACAAATCACCAAAACTAAACGATGAGCTGGAAGACAAAGGTAAACTGAGCTAAGAGTCCTATGATGAAACATAGAGCTATGGCTGCATGCCTGTGTGTTTTAATCAACTGGCAAACATGAACAGGACAGCAATTTACTGTGTGACTGAACATCTTTACGAGTCAACCGCTACAGTGAAATTTTAAGCCCCACGAAGTAGTGGCATATTAAAGTAGTCTATTCAGCCTGCGCTGCTGACTGCTGTTCATGGAAATTATGCTGAAAAGAGAAAATGTGACTTCTAGAGTCTGCAGCATTCTTAAAGCTAATTTACGTTGCTGTCTAATAAAAAAATAATTATTTTTCAATGGAAAACGTTTGGTGCATTTATTAACCCTTTCTGACTGGCAGGGGTACCAGTGCTCCCTTTTCCATATCTATTTTTAGGTTCCTGGATAATTGCGACCAAATAAGACAGAGCAATCTTTTTATTTTCTTTTTCCAAATCATAGAGGAAAAAAATTGAACATTGTACTCACATCGAGTCCTGGAGCACTGTTTTTCCCCTGAAAATGCTATTTTTATTTTGCATAAATCAAATAAAAATACAAAAACAAAAAAACAATCTAGACTAGGGCTGCAACTAAAGATTAAGTAATCACTTAATATGTTGATCATTTTTTCAAATGATCGGTTAAGAATCGGATAGCAAAAGGTTCTTTGATTCTTTACAGAATTAAACCAGGCGAAACTAAAACCTTTCCACTTGAGTACTGGATAGAGCATATTGACAGATAAAAAAGTTTGTTTTGTTTTTTTATCTTAAATTTAAAATATTTATATGTAATTACTGCTCTAAGTGGGTTGCTATACACCAGTCAACTATTACTTGATTACTAAATTAGTAGACGACCTTTTTTTGACCAATTGATTGTCTCTTTTTCCTTAAGTACAAAGAGCAGGAGGTTGTATCCAACAGTGCCGCATCTCTTTGTGGACATTTCTGTAATAAACAGCTATCTGTTGCACAAGGAGCTCTGTGGCAGACTGGATCAGCTGATCCACTCTTCCACAGTAAACTAAGCTTTACTCTGAGCCTGCAATTCCAGTATTGTAAATAATTCATTATAGATAGGGTTAGGGTGCTCCTGTTGTGTTTTTAAATTTTGCATCTTAATAAAGAATATCACCATCATACCACCATAAATTTTTAATACACAAAAAAAAATGATTTGATTTTTTTTTTTGTGGGTTATAACACTTTGTTTTCCAAACAAAAATGATCTGTCATTATCTACACTTTTAAATGTGTTCATATGTATCTGGTAAAATTAAAGATTTGATTGCACACCTGCAAACATTTTAGAAGTACATATAATTTCTCAAATGTTTCACAATGTACATATTTCTTTTTATTTTCATTTAATCTCTGTTTACAAAATGAAGGGTATTTAAATAATTAAGCTTCGGACACACTGCAATGAAGATTTTCACTGGTTTTAAATTGTTTTGTCCAAGTTTTTTACATTACAATTTTTCGAGGGATAGAGATGGTATTTTTCTGTATTCAGAAAGTATGTCCAAAAAAAAAAGATTTTAATTTTTCAGTTGGTTCATTTGAAATGTAAGAGTTCTAATGTTGTCTTACATATTGAAATGCTTTAAAAAAAAATGGCTCTACAGCTTGTAAAAAAAAAAAAAAATACAGCGAATGTTCTAATGTTGGTCATTAAGGGTTAAATATCTCACCATCTTTTGATTAACAAGTGAGGTGAAATAAAAATAACATGTTCTCAAATGAGAAATATTATGCATTTTTCAGTTGTTTGGTCACAAAAACACAGTGCATCCAGTATCATTAATAAAAGAAGCATGCAAATCACTTCAGGTAAAAATGGTAGTCCAAAGACTGTGTCCTTCCACTTTGCAGTCCCACACCATTAGGCTCTGACAGAGGTGCTGACAGAGTGAATTCTTAAAATGACCTGCATGCCATAGTATCAAAGACGGGAAAGCAGGAGAATTCAACCTTTGTGAGCCTTTATTTCACAGCTTAAAGGGTTAGAGGCTGTTTTTTTTTTTAAAACAAAGATGTCTAACTTTGTTTTAAAAAACAAATGTCTAACTTTCTAGAATCACTGATTTTTTTTTTTTTTTTAGGCGTACTAAATTCATAAATGTGGATAATTTTTTCAATCTAACATCCAAAGCTATTAAAAAAATTCTATAAATATAAACTATCACACAAAAACCATATAGAACATAAAATCCTTTTTGACAGTGATGCCTTGTTATGATACCTGATTTTCCCCAAAGAAGAATGATATAGACCATTCTTGTTATGGTCTTAAAGAATGTTTGGGTACTTTTTTAAAAATAAGTCAAAATATTAGATTTTTAAGAAGGATTTTGTTGGTTCTAGTTTTTGATCAGTGAGGTCCTACAAAACTCAGCAACCTAAACCAAACGTCACTGATAATTTGGTTCCATTTCACATGGGTGAACTGCATTTACTGATTAGAGAGCTTCTAAACACATTTTATTGTGGAGCAACTCTGTTTTTCTTCTCTTTTTTTTCAGCTTACATTTTAACAATATGTACCTCTTTATAATGGTCTTTTAAAAGTGGCTCAAACAAAAGAGACTGAATTTTGAAGCTTCCAAAGGACAAAATGTACAAAGTAAACATTCAAGTAGTAGGAATACTTTTTGCAGGCTCTTTGTGTAAAGCATTGCATTAACTCAAAAAAAGATCAATAACAGTTAAACTATTAAAAGTACTATTAAAAGTCTTTCTTAGGTTCATTTTTTTCAGTATCAACAAATAATAGTACACAGATTACATTCTTTTTGAGAGGCTAACAGACATAAATGAAAAAATAGTGGAAATGTGAGCACTGGTTGCAAAGCGAAAAATAAAAATAGTTCCCTCAAATATGTGAGTAAGACACCCTTTGTGTCACATGCCACCATATTACCCTGGTCATGTTAGTTAGGGAACAAAATGTTTCTATAGAGGCCGCAACAGGAAAGTTGTTGAGAAAAAATATTGACAGGGGCTAAATTTATGATCATTTTAAAATAAACATTTTCAAACCATCAATTACTTGCAAAAATCAGTTTTCTGTTTTGTTTTTTGTTTTTATCATCTGCCAATGGCATTATCTCTTCTTCAACATAAAGCCTAAGACTGCTAAGGAATTAGCATGTAGCATATGTTCTTTGTTGCTTGGCGAAAACTGATTATTTCCTTATTTCTACAAGAATGTCCCTAAAATACAACAAAGTATATAAGAAAACGAGTAGAAAATACAAACAGTTATTTAGTCAAAATATCAAACAGGACTTTAAAAATACATTTAAATTACAAATCAGTCGCTATCTGCCATTGCTATGCTAGCAAGGCTTTAAGCTAACAAGGCTAAGCCCAATATGCCAACGTCAATGTACTTGGGATAAATGTCTAGATCAAATAAAACTTAATTCAAATATTGATGCACTTTTTAAAAACATTTTATTCGTGCATTTGTGAAAACTGACATAGGTAATTAACTGAAAAATCCCGCTTTATTGTAGGAACAAGCAGTCGCTCTTCGATAGAGGCGAAAGCTAGCATGAGCTAATAATAGTCCTTTTTTTTAGATTATTAAAACTGTAAAATATTTTGTTTCATGATTATTTACTAGTATTTATTTTTTAAATTACATTGGTGCATCAAGCAATGATTGATATTGGGCATTTCTTATTCGAAGTCTTTCTTAAATAATTGTATATTTCCGTGCGGTTTGTTTAGCCGCAGGCCAGAACAGCCTTTTTTGACTAGGCCCAACTTAAAACTTGGCCAGTTAAGATACGACTTTATGAATTAAAATCGACAGTTTTTAATTGGTGCTTTTAGGTGACAGTTCGAGCTTTATATAATGGACAAAAGGTGCCATAGATTGGTCAAGTAGTTTTGGACAGGTAAGCAACTGTTGAGGGAATTTCACTCAGAGTTCAAACGGAGCAAAACAAAAGACATAAATACTCACTAGGGATCGTTTGTAAACCTGGGTGTTCTCGGAGGTTGGTATCCGTACAGATGGCAATAAAGCACGTCAAAACAGAAGCAGCACATCTCTGCTGAGACGACCATTTTTCTGCCAACACTTCCCGAACCTGGTCCTGGGCTGAGGTTCGGGGAGAGGCCGGATGTAGAGTAACCGGCCGGGGCAGGAGACAGAGCGTTTGTGCCTCCGCTGCTACCGCTACCGCCGCTAATGTTCCCTCCGGGTCCCCCCAGGCCGTTGGCTCTGCTCACGTTCGCCGTTGCTGCAACCGTCGCGGAGGAGCCAATCCCCAACTCCGAGCCACAATGTCCGGTTCCTGTCACCCCGCTTCCCGCCCCCACCCCGCCGGGACCCCCCGACCCGGGAGATCCCGACAGTTTCTGCTTCTTCACCCCGCAGCACCCGGCCGCCATCTTGGAACAATCTGCACCGACACACCGCTTCCGACCCATAACCGTCACCGCGGGAAGGGTGGGGGGGAACGCCGACCAGACGTAGAAATCCCACTGCGCTGAGACGTACGACGGACAATACTCCACTTTCACTCTTTTATGCTCTATTTCCGATGTAATCGGGTGAAGAAACAACCACAGTTGGGAAAAGATTGCAATGTCACTATTAAAAAAAAAACGCGTGACTCGGCTACGCAAAATTCATAGCTCACGCGTCTATTTCTTGAGTAGTGACCCAGCCAGGGGTTTAGGATGTGTTGTTCCAGTAGATCACACCCTAAGTCCGAGCCAAATATACACCCCTCTAACACGACACCATCCGTAGCGACCTGGCTCGTTCTACCCCCCCAAAAAAACACACAAGTTCAACGAGTACACAGTCCGATGAGGCCGCGGATGACAGCGATCAGGCGGTCCAGATGTGTAGCCGCTGTAGTCCCGCAGCACACCTCTCCAACTAGAAGCCGGGGGCTCGAGTACGCAGGACCCATAAGCTTCAGCACAAACTGCGCACTGATCCACTGACAGCGTAGCTTCTCATTGCACCAGCTTGTTTTGCTACTCGCCTCATGAACTTCTAATTATACAACAGGCCCGGAATAATAGAAAGCCAAACGCCGGGGAAACGCAGAGCAAAATGGCATCTGACGATGCGGGGTTGGCATGGCATAACGGATCGCGTCAGCGGCCGAACAAGTCATTTCAGTGCCCGTTAGCCCACAGTTTGCACCTGCATCATGACTGCTCTCGGACCGGCTTGGAGATCTGAATAACACCCCCGCGTCAAACGGACCGCTGAAAGTTTTCAGCATAGGTTATTTTTTTGTGTTGGAGGGGGGGTGTCATCCGGACAGAAGAGCGTTCAAACCCGCCGACCGTGAGAAATCCACCGGGTTGTAACGGCAACCCCCTCCCTCTGCATCCGCCTGTCAGCTGCTACAGTTCTGTGCTGTTCGGGTTAAAAAAAAAATAAAAAAAAAAGCCCTGCGATCAGTCGGTGGGCATCGGTGTTGTCGGCACGCCGGAACCGGATTCACAAAACGATCTGCGCTCAGATACTGCGTAGCAATAGGGGGCTTGAATTTTACGATTCAGAATATTCGGTGCAGTGGAAGCATGCGCGGCAATGACGTCCGCGCACGTGGACATGAGAAGCAGTTCACCCCGAAGTTTTTAAAGGTACTGGACGTTATTAAAGCTAGAGGGAATACTTTGCTAAGACCTGTCAGATCTAAGTGGGTTTGAATCAGAGAATTTAGAGATTAAGGTGTTCCCTCTTTTTATAGAAATAAAGTTCCTCAAATAGATATGTATATCCAAAGGGAAAGGGGTATGACTGCATGGAACAGAATCATTTTCAGATGTAAACCCAGTTGGAAATTTGAAAAATCATTGATGCAGAACTGGTAGACATCTATCACACACATATCTATATATAGAGATATCTATATATATAAATAAATACATTTTCATCAACTTTGCAACTCTGCACCCTTTTTCAGTGCATTTCAGCGCAAACCGCAGTTGCATAAGCAATATAAGGAGCTATAAAAATAAAGTGTGAAAAAGGCCAAAGCATCCTAATACTTAAGGGCATCACAGTTATGTTTAACCATGAGAACGTGTTAACTGACCACCTCTGGTTTTCAGTGGTTAAAATAGTTCAGGCATCAATATTATTTCTTAAAAAAAACAACAACAAAAAAACACGCTTACATGGGAAAAACTAAAAGGGTAAAACAAACATTCCTCAAACTGAACTCTGAACAGCTTGAAATGGAAAACAGGACAAGTATGTAGACGATTTCCCGTTTTTTTTTTTTTTTTTTTTTTTTTTGATACCATAAGCAGTGAAGAATTGCAGCTAAAATGTTACCCTGACTCCAGCTGAATTTTTAATTCTTAAAAATCACCCCCCTTCTTAAATGACCATCCCTACCATCCCCTGTAACATTTTATCGCTGAATGTGTAAAAATGTCTACTTTATATTAACAGCAATGGCAATAATATTGCCCTTTCAACATTTGGCAGGCTGTGTGCTTACGAGTAGCCTGAGCAAAATAAATAAACTCAAAGAGGTTGCCTTCCCTAATTATGAAGCTGATCCCAGTTGGAAATTTGTCCTCTGCATTTGTCCCCAACTATGTGCAGTGATAGCCATGCCAGTCCAGGGAATGGCTGCAGTTCTACTCTAAGGTGCCTTGGTCAAGGTCAATGACCAGCGTACCTGACATGTAACAACCATACCATGTATATTGCTTAAAGTCAATAGACTATAATAACTAGGCTATACATGCTTCTACAAAAAAAAAATAAAAGAAATCCACCATCTACCTTCTTTCTTTTTTACAACTAGACTACTGACTCCTTTACTACCATCTTGACACCCGATCATCCTGATTGATAGACTTTATTGATCTCACAGAAGAGAAATATACTCGTTACATCAGCTCAAACAGTCAAAGGAGAAGAATGTGCCAAAGGAAGAAAAAGGCACATGGTTTATATACAGTATACACAGTGTGTCCACATATGGCAAGGCAAGGCAAATTTATTTGTATAGCACAATTCAGTACAAAGACAATGCAAAGTGCTTTACATGATTAAAATACAGGAAGATAAAACAGAATCAAAGCACGTAGGAAAAAATAAAAATAAAAAAATAAATAAAATAAAATAAAAAATGCAGAAACAACAAAAGAATATTAAAAACAGTTGGACGTTTTTGTTAGATTACATTTATTTATTTGATGATTTTTTTTTTTGATATGATAGCTTTTTTTTTTTTTTTATAGTAGGATCATTATTGCACAGGGTGTTTAAATGTGTATTTACATAGATGGATATTTACATGGGCGGATCTAGATGGGGGCCAGTGCCCCTGTAGATCATGTCCTGGCCTCTATTATGGCCCCTGAACTGAAGAGATAATACTCAAAGATGTTCTAAAGATGATATGCACTGGAACAGACATGGTTACTGATGTCCTTTGGATCTTTTTTTTTTTTTTTTGACGTTTTTTTTTAAATAAAATTAGTTAAAAACAATAANTTTACATGATTAAAATACAGGAAGATAAAACAGAATCAAAGCAAGTAGGAAAAATAAAAATAAAAAAATAAATAAATAATAAATAAAATAAAAAATGCAGAAACAACAAAAGAATATTAAAAACAGTTGGAAGTTTTTGTTAGATTACATTTATTTATTTGATGATTTTTTTTTTTTGATATGATAGCTTTTTTTTTTTAATAGTAGGATCATTATTGCACAGGGTGTTTAAATGTGTATTTACATAGTTGGATATTTACATGGGCGGATCTAGATGGGGGCCAGTGCCCCTGTAGATCATGTCCTGGCCTCTGTTATGGCCCCTGAACTGAAGAGATAATACTCAAAGATGTTCTAAAGATGATATGCACTGGAACAGACATGGTTACTGATAGGTCCTTTGGATCTTTTTTTTCTTTACATTTTTTTTAAATAAAATTAGTTAAAACAATAAGGTGATAGCTTCAGTGGTACTGAGATAGGAGCTTAGTTTTTAATCTGCTAAATGTTTTTTTAAAACTAATTTAAAAAAAACTCAGTAAAAAAAATGTACAGCTGAATTTATCAGTTTTTCTTGAGTTCTAATTCTGATTTTACAGAAAACGGTTATTTTAACTTAAATTAGGTCAGAAATATGTACAATCCATAAATTCTGAATGTATATTGATCTACTAAGACATAGAATTTGAATAAAATGTAATTGAATTGAAATTTTACTTCATGCAGCTGTCTTAATATATTTGAATCCATTGCCTTGTTTTTTATTGCATGCTTTTCTGTTCCCCAAATAAAACACGCTGGCCCCATCCTGGCCCCCTGGTACATTAGGTCTAGAACCGCCACTGGGTATTTATATTTAGATATATAGTTATTGTAATGGGTGTCAAATATAGAGAAACAGGTTATTGCACAGGGTATCAAATAGTATCAATGATATCAATCTGAAGCCCTCCTTACTCCCTCAGAGGATATTCTTCAACCCTCTTCCCTTTTTTTGCCTTTGGCAGCAGAACTTTCTCTCACTCTTCTCCCAAGCTTTCTCCCACTTTTTCCCATCAGACATCAGTAATATTGACACGCTTTACCACTTTAAATCGAGACTTCAAACAAGTCCTTTCAAGACTGTTTATTCTCTGTGATTTTAACTTTTATTGATGATGTGCATGGGCGGTTCTAGAGAGGGGCCAGTAGCCCTATAGAACAATTCCGGGCCCCGGTTATGGTCCCTGTACTGAAAACGCACTACAAATTTGAAATATAATAAGTATATTTTTCTTGAAATACGTGTATTTTCCCAAAATTTTAGAAGGTAAGTTAGACAATTTGCAATGGAATATGATGAATTACATTTAAAATTACAAAAAAACATTACATTTTTAAAATGCATGATATTATTCTTATTTTTTAGAGCAGAAATACTCATTCATTAGGCAGATCATCATAATTACCAGCTTCAACTAAGGGCTAATACATTTACCTAAAGATTTCTTTTCCTTTTTTAGATCTGTTTTTGTAGTGTAATACTACCGGTAAATAAATTAATTATGATAAGAGAAGAGAATGTACCTCAAACTTCACTTGGATCAATTTTTTTTATCTTTCCTTTATAATTTAGAGTAAAGGTAATTTAGAAACAGCTTTATGTTTAAATCGAACTAAGACAGGATCACATTTTAGATCTTAGACCTTGACTCTGGGGCTCACTTAATATACTAAATGATGCATTCATGCCCTATTTATTTTTCTGTTTTCTGTTTGTTATTCTTTTTTATGTGTCCCCATTATTAAAAACACCTGCACCACCCTGGCCTCCGTTGTACATTTTGTCTAGAACCACCACTCATGATTTGTTATCTGTTTTTTTTGTTGTTTTTTTTTTATCTTCATTTGTCGCCTTTGCATCTTTTAATAAAAAGCTTTTTTCATTATTACTGTTATTATTGTGCTATTACTACTTGTCTTCAAATACTATTTCTGACTGAGTTGGACTTTTTTTAAGGGGTTTCTCATTAAAAACAATGAAAGCTTCTTTGACCCGAGTATTTGCCCAAGGGCCCATATTTGGTTATTTATATTTCTAAATTAAAATAGATTTTTTTTATGGGTAAATCTCACTCTTTTAGGAGTAAGATTATGGCAGAGAAGCCTTAAGGCCCCCACAACCAAGCATCAGTTAAATATTTATTCAATTAATCAGACAGTTGCCTCAGGTTCATGCATGTATTACCTCTTTATATTTAGCCTCTTGTCTTTCTTTTCATTTCATATCTGTTATGGTTTAGGACCCTGTTGTTACAGTCTTTTGCTCCTTTTTTATTAATTTAAACAACCCGATAGGGAATTAAAACATGTCTGTTGAATAATATTGTTGTCATGATTCTTCTATACCAGCCTAAAAAGCTATAAAGAAGTTATTATGACAACATTTTCAAGGAACATTTTGGCTGATTCCCTTTATGTTAATTTTTTTCTGCAAGTATTTTAAATGCAGTGCTGGGATCATTTGGTGTTATTTTGCTGAAATGTTAATTCAAGTTGAATGGAGAAAATGCAAGTCCATGCAATTCCTTCTGCCGACGTGGTGACTGTGTAACTCTCTCTCTTTGCATAAACCTTGTCATCACTTCATCTAGAGTGTTTTTCCCTCTGGCTCCCATGTGGTGACCTTTCTCTTCCACTCAGGACAAAATCCCTGCTCATTTTCCACTGCAGACAGATAACTCCTTTTATCAGCTGGAATGTCATATCGCCAAACCAGATTTATTCCTACTCATTTGTATTTCGTTTTGCCTTTTTAATGTCCTGAGCGTTTCATCTTTTAATGGGGGTGTCAGCTGCTGAGTCACATGGTGCCTTGTGAGCTTCTCTCTGATGGTCGCTGCACTTGGCCTAATAAACCATTTTTTTTTTTTTTTATGACTAAAGGTTTGGATTGAAATGAAGAGAATTAAATATTCTGGGTTTTGATAAAGTTTTGACATGTCTGGAAAAGAGTGAAATAAAATTTTAAAAATGTCCAAGCTTGGATAAGTATGGAAATAAAAACATGTAACACACAACTTGCTTAGTCTAATTCATTTATAACTCTTCATTTATTAAATCTTATTTCTGATAAAGCAACAGCTTTGTTCTACTTTTTTTTTTTTGCTTAAATATTTTACATTTTATTCACCACAGTCATCGCAAGTTTCCCCACCTCATCAGTTGCTATGTTTTCAAATTCAGACAAAAAAAGGAAAACGCCCACACAGCCTTTTTTTTTTTTTTTTTAATCATTGTCTCGTTGTTGTTGTTTTTTTTAATACAGATGTTATAGATTTATAAAAAAAAATATTAAGATTAATTGTGAAACTCAAAAACAATTTTATAAAGAAAATCAAATAAAATACAATTAATCAAACCGGGGAAGTGTTTTGTAATTATATACCGGTATTCTAAATGTTACAAGAAGGAAGCATTTACAAAAAAAATGTCTGGAAAAATATGGAATTTTGTGCGTTTAAATCCCCACCAACCTCCTGATGCATAGCACAGACAAATAAATCAGCAATCTCTCTCCTGTTAAAGTACCTACTTCAGTTTTAAATATGTGTATTAGTGGGACTCTTAAATTGGTATGCTTTGTGTCTGAGCAAATACAATCTCATAAAAATGTATGTCTCTGCAATTTTATACGTTTAATCTATGTGGCAATATGCTTATTAAAACAGGTGTTTATTTTATGAAATGTTACTATCTAAAACTAAAAAGCTTGCATAATGACCTGTACAAAAAGCTGCATTTAACTGTATCTACTGACCAATGCAAAGACTTTGTTTTTTATAGTGTACTGTCTGGCGATGTCGCAATAAGAATAATTGTCTCGATACCAAAAAGAGCCAAACAGATTTTACTTTTACAGGTGGAGCAGTACGGCTATCGCCATAGTGTTCTGCTTGATTTATGCTTATAAATAGCTTTATTATAATTCATGCAGGGAGTTTTAGAGATTATATTGACATTGCAATGTAAGTAGAACAGGAAAGGAATACAGAAAAAAATTAGAAAATATGAAAGAAAGAGGAGATGAAAGGGAGATAATGATAAAGCATCTTTTGTCTGCTTCATCACCTGCAAAGAGATGTAAAAACAACAGCACAAGCAACGGATATAGTATAAGTGATAAAATAAAGTAACACCTTAATACTATCGCTGAAGTATAAGTAGTATTATATAATCTGACATGTCCAGGGCTTCCAACTTTTCACCAATCCTTGGGGTGAGATTTTGAAATAGTTTGGGCAGGAAACCCTGTCAGGGTTTGATGAGAATAGGTGCAGCTATAGGTTGGAGGTTTTCGGAGGATTTAATTAAAACAAAGTGGCTAAATGTAGAATTTTTATAAAACAGTAAATGTTACTGAGTAACAATAAGAGGTCTGTAGTTGTGTATAACATTTTTATTTAATGTAATTTATTTAAAGTTTTTTAAACATATTCAATGGACCAAAATAAAGAAGAATGAATATGATAAGTAATAATAAAAGATGAACATCCCTGTCGTTCCTCCTCTATGAATCAAGGATAAAGAAATTGTTCTGCACATCCTCTCTGTATGTGGTTGGTCTTTTCTTTGGTGGCTGATTTTTTGAAAAATAAAATGCAATGATTCTTTTTCTTTTTGTGGAACTCCTTTGGGTTTGAGAGGCAAACCTGAAAGATTTAAGAATTAAAATTTTTGTGTTGGTTTAATTACTCCTTAATACTAACAGGAGATTATTAAACTAGACTGAGTTGAGTTTTAACGTCTGTCATTTTTTAGTGTGAGAAATTGGGTATATTGAGTGAGAGACTGTTTGGTAGCTGCATTTTTGCAAAGATGCAATACTGCATTTTTCCTATATTCCCGCTAGGTGGCAGTAGCACAGATCTTCATTGGTGACTGAGCTCCTTGTTTTGATTCGAAGAAGGAGCAGGAGGCGGAGCTGCTTGTTTGAAAGTGGCGGGCAGGAACAGTCAGCCACCGAATGAAGTTTTCCTATTGAAATCTGAAAGGTACGTTAATAATAAAGTCGTCCGAATAACTTCAGCTCACTTTTTTTGTGTCGAGTTGACCCTGACAGTGGATAGTTAACTATCGGAGAGACTCTGTCCGTGTTTGTACTCTTTGTTTTTGTAGAACGAAAAGCTTCGCAACTGATGCTCATCTTTCGCTATGCAGCTAGCTAGCTAGCTTCTCCAATCCGATATTCGTAGTTTAGCATGTTAACATTAATGATATAGTGTTGTAATTTCCCATAGATTTGTGAGTTTCACCGTGGCATTGTCTCGATCCACACCCACTGTTATCTGTGTCCATTTAGTAAGCTTAGTCTCGACAAATAAACGGTAAAACATGGACTGGAGCTTCAGTGAACGACTCCCTGACAGCTTGAAGGAAAAAAACTAAGCCTTCCTGGGGGTTGGAAAGTCTCACTTTTTATCAACCACTGATTAGGGCAAAAAATAAAATTAAAAACTTAGTTAGAGCTTTATTTTGCCAGTTTGAATGATTTTTCACAATAGAAACCAGTCTAATAAATACTACTTTTCCCTTACCACCCTTTCTTGATGGACAGTACTTTGTACTTGAACGTTTTCAGTTACTATGATTAAATACTGACATGAAGGGGAAATAAAACCCTCTATATTTATCCAGAAAGCTGTGAAATGACCATTATGGTTTAACTAAATCTGGTGACGCAATCGGTTAATAGAAAGATTTCCACTCACTTGATTGGTGGATTTCAATCTAATAAAACGTATTTGATTCTTTAAAGTCTCCCCTGTTCTTATTTTATCCAGTCCTTATTCTAAAATCTAAAGCGATCTAAAAAAAGAAAAGTGCTGCTAATTGCTTCAAGAAGTTACTAAATCAGAGTTTTTGTTAGTGGCAAAGTGTGGAAGACATCAATGCTGTATATGGCAATGTGTGCATAATCTTAACAATTTAATTTGATGAGCATGTTGCTAATTTTCAACATATAAACTAGGGCTGGATATTTCCCCCAAAGTCCTAAATCAATTTGATTTTGATTCATACAGTTCTAAATCGATTAAATTCGATTCTATCTGTTTTTACAAATTTGAAAGTGGTTCAACTGTGTTTCAAAATACTCATGTATTTTATTTTTTTCCTGTCATATTAAACACAAAGTGCAAACTTGTAAATCGGACAGTTTAAACTTCAGATGTGAACCAAACTGTCTCAAAAGTGAAAACTTATTTTTGAAAAGTGAAAAAGTGAAGCCTCACACGAGCAAAAAGACGTGACACAGTGGGGACACAGCAGACTTGCATGAGCTGCATATTCTTCACTCCACAAACCATATTTGCAGCGTTGTCTGTAACAACTACAGGGTGTTTGCTGGTCAGCCCCCATTTGTTAACGTCTTCAGTCAAACTATTGGCTATATTTGCAGCTCTGTTGCTTGAAGTCATCTTGGTGGTCTGTAGCACGAGATGCAAGACGCCATTCATTATCAGTGTAGGTGGAAGTCACCTTAATGTCACATATCCTGCACAGTATCTTTAGCTGTTTTAAATCCAAAATGGTTCCAGACATCAGACTTCAGTTGGGACAGCTTGCTGAGTGGTGTGTTACTTGGGTCGGCATTTGCTCACACCTGCTCATTTGAATGTGAACGTCACGTGCAACACTATAAAACTAATCGTCATTCCCTACACATCGATTTTGCAAAAATGTAAAGGAATTGATTCAAAATCGATTAAATACATTTTTTTACCCAGCCCTAATATAAACTGAAGTTAATTGGGTCCAATGTTATCCATATATCTCAGAGGTAAATAAACAGGATAAGTTAACTGCTGTCATTCTGCTTCTATGTACTTTAGAAGTTTTGACCTTTTCCAAACTGTATTTTTTTTAACCCTATTTTAATGAGTAAGTCAAAATCATTATGCTGGAGAAATGCATTATTTTATTCGTCTGTACTGATTAGATTTTCATCTCATTTATTTAAACTTCACAATACTTACACCAGAATGCCAAAGACTGGAGTAATACTCTTTATTCCTTCCTGAATGTTTGAATAGATCAGACTATTTGGTGGTTGTTTTATTTTATTTATTCTTTTTTTTCCTGTAAAGTAAAGAGGTTTATGTTTTCTGATATTTTTAACTCTTTATTTTATTGATATTTATATAAATTACTAAAACTGGCTTTCCATGACAATTTTGTCCCTTCTTGATAGATTAAAAGTCTAGATTGAGGTTTTATTATCTTGCAATCTTATATAACATGTTGATCTGAACACATGTCACAGGCTACATTAAAGGTGTCAATGGCACATTTTCATGTTGTTTTGCCCCCTTTTTTTGTATTTCTTAAAGCTCGTTACTGGAATCCTGCACCATGACAAACGAAGACGCTAAGGTGATCCCGGTGCGGGTTGCCTTACGATGTCGTCCGTTGGTACCAAAAGAAATTAATGAGGGATGTCAGACCTGTCTTGTTTTCGTCCCTGGTGAGCCACAGGTACGACGTATTACATCATCAGATTAGATGTTGCTTTGAGTCGCATTCAGCTCCGATTTTTAAAGCTTGTTTTATTTTTCTCAGGTGATCGTCGGCACAGAGAAAGCATTCACATATGATTATGTGTTCGATCCCACGGCTGAACAAGAGGAAGTGTTCAGCACTGCTGTGGAACCTTTACTGCGTGGACTTTTCAAAGGTAAATCCGCTCTCTAATGTGCAATTTTGGCACGTTTGGTTTTATTCTGACTAGGTTTTCCCTTTTAAGATTCAATTATAGTACTAACTGCCTGAAATATGAGTTATATTTGCTTGTTATAATAAAATATAGACGGTTTAGCCATGTTCTCGTCATTTTACATCATTTCTAAACACTTCCTCTGTTAGGTTACCATGCCACAGTGTTTGCATATGGACAGACGGGGTCAGGAAAAACCTACTCAATGGGAGGAACGTACACGTCAGCCCAGGAAAACGATCCCTCAGTCGGAGTGATTCCTCGAGTCATCAAGAGGATCTTTGAGGAGAGGGAGAAGAAAACAGACTCTGAATTCTGTCTGAATGTGTCATATCTGGAGGTTTGCAGATGCACGCTGTTAACTCTGATGTCCTGTTTTCCTTTTATCTAAAACTTCGTATTTTAATGTTTAGAGAAAACATCTTGTAATAGTTATTTTCTTTATTTTCCCTCCAAGATCTATAATGAGGACATTTTAGATTTGCTGTCTGCTTCTAAAGATAAACCTGCCATCAGTATTCGGGAGGATCCTAAAGAAGGCATTAAGGTGAGTCTAAAATGAATGTGAAAAGTGGAGAAGATGTTAGCCTCCGATAAAAGATAACACTTTTTTTTTTTTTTTAGATTGTTGGGCTGACTGAGAAGCAAGTGTTTTCTGCCCCAGAGATGGTAGCTTGTCTGGAAATTGGAAACTCGGCACGTACAGTGGGATCCACAGCAATGAATGCTGCCTCTTCGCGTTCCCACGCCATTTTCACCATCACATTGGAGCAACGCAGAGGATCAGACAAGTCTGCTTTTTTTTTTTTTTTTTTTTTTAGAAGAACAATATTTGTCCTTTAAGAATGTTGACTCCTATCGAATCTAAATTCTAGATTTTGTAAAGGAAAGCTAAGTGTTTACACCTTCCTGCTTTGCTCTCCCTGATTCTCTCCTGGAATAGATCACTCAGAACAAACACTTAAAATAAAGCTCTTCAATGTATATGTGTAAAATGACTATGAACATGACGGCAGCTGTAGCACAATTTAATATTATTCAGACCAGAGCAATGGCTGAGGATACAACAGCAGCGCTTAGAATCGCGCTTTCCTCATCAGTAGGAGAGCCGAATAACGGTTAACAGAAGCCGTTGACTCTGAAGCTACAGCTTCAGAGATACATCAGTATCGTTTAGGGGTGTGAAAAAAAAATCGTTTTGTCAAAATAGATTTTTGGCTGCCTGCTATAAAATCGACCTTTCAGTTTCTAGTATCGATTTTTTTTTTTTACCTAAAACTGAGGGAAAATGGGCTACCACCACTGGCAGATAATGCTGTGGAGCCCTTTTGCTGTGCGATGCAGCGCCATTTCTGTAGTTGAGGCAGGCACAGTGGAAGACGTGAAATGACTCCCCAAGCAACATGAATACAAACTAATTGAACAATCAATATATATATATATATCGTCTGATGAATATATACAGAGGTTATTATTTTTTTTTTGCTATACATTTAATTTGATAGCAGAAAAGATTTTGCAATATATGGTGATATTGCAATAAAGTGATATCGTATCTTGAACCAGGTATCATGGTAGGGATCGTATCGCAACATCCATGCCAATACTCACCCCTAGTATCATACACATGTTGTTTGGAAGTGAGGAGTCATCACTGGCTAAGTGACCAACAGTCTCAGTCACAGTCTAATCAAGGTAATATAGTGTTCTAGATCATGACAGTCAAACTTCATAAACTGCTGGGGAAACATTAGCCTTAATACTGAACAGGTAGGTACTATAAGTGGTTAACAAGCACAGAAATGACTAAAATAATCCAAACAATTTTAGGCATTTTGTAATTTTCTTGTTTTTCCATGTGTTTTTTTTCAGTTGTCTTTCAATAGTTTTTTCTTTGACATTTGCTTAAAACCTGCAATAGAAATGCCAGAGTTTCTCTAAATTGAGCTGTAGGAGTAACATCATCAGGTTATAACTGTGTTATTAGAAAAGATAAAAAGAGAATTGGGGAAAAGAACAAACAATAAAAATAAACAGCAGAGCTCAGGAGTGGTTTAAACCAAAAGAAAAAGAAAAAAAATCCTGTTAAATTTCAGTCATAGATTTTGGGTAGCTAACCAATGGCTGCTGGGTAGCTGAACCTTAACTTTTTTTTCTGAGTTAAATAAATTATTTGTTGGAGCCACCTGTTTTAGGTTCTGTTTGCAGGCTCCCACCCTTTGCTTCATATTTCTGCTAACTTTTGTTACAGAGTGGATTCAATAGTTTCAAAGCTGCACCTTGTGGATCTGGCTGGCTCAGAGAGACAAAAGAAAACCAAAGCTGAAGGAGACCGTTTGAAAGAAGGTACATCACAATCCGTTTTACTTATTCTCTCTTATTTTTCTATTTTTGTCGTCATGTAAAGCGTAAACATATATTTAAGGACCTCCTTCTGTGGATCTGTTTCAGGATAACATTTACTAGTTTCAGAGAGCGGGAATAAAGACAGCCCCTCTCTGCTCAGTTTAGTCAGAATAAAATTGCTTGTCTTGTTCTCATTCCAAAGCTGGTTTCCTTGAAATTAAAAATAAAAAGCTCAGATTTTTAGCTTAAAAATATTTCTCTCTCTTTTTACTTTAAACCCTTTAACACCCTAAAGCAGCAATGTCCAAACATTTGCATGCCTCTTAATGTGGCGTCTTTCTGTTTTAAAACTGAGAGTTCTCGTCTTGTGATGCATTTTATTTTTATCCACAGGAATCAGCATCAACCGTGGCCTCTTGTGTCTGGGTAATGTGATCAGCGCTTTGGGGGATGAAAGCAAGAAGAACACTTTTGTTCCTTACAGAGACTCCAAACTCACCCGCCTGCTTCAGGGTAGGCTTTGATTTCACTGTTCAGAAATCCCACTGGTCATTAAACAAAGGATCTTCTAACAAGGATAATCCTTTTCTTTTTCTTTTTTAAGCTTTCATTCCTAAAAAGTTTTTTCAGCAACTTCTTTTTTTAGGGTTTCCACGGGCTATTAAAGGTCATTAAATCATAATTATTCTAAATTAAGGCTCCAATTTGCATTAAAATTCATTAAATGTGATTATGCTGGCATTTAAAATGCTTTTTTTTTAATATAATATAAACGTTTTTTTTAACACTTTTTTGTAATCTCTATCTGATATTTCTGTTTTTGTGTGTTTGCGTGGAACTGCTTTGGTTGATCGTAAATCCGTATGTTTGGAAAGAAGTTTGAGGCGGAGAATAGGCTGGAGAATCGGAAAATGCAAATTTCAACAAAAGTGTCTTTAAAACAAGGAATTTAGGACATGGCTGCAGCCTGTCGAAAGTAAAGATGATGGAGGATTCAGGAAGCTGAAAATATCTGTTTGGATACCACAATGCAGGAAAATGAGTGGAAAAAATGTTTTGTATGCATTTCCTCAGATTCTCTTGGAGGGAATAGCCACACTCTGATGATCGCGTGCGTCAGTCCTGCAGACTCTAACATGGAGGAAACCATCAACACGCTGCGATACGCCGACAGAGCTCGCAAGATTAAGAACAAACCCATCGTTAACGTCGACCCAAGGGCTGCGGAGATGAACCGACTGAAACAGCAGGTAAGGTGAAGGCTCTGTTACGGCCATTATGTTGGAAGGATGAACACTGTTTACTCTCGTACATGGTTGGACATGTTGTCCCTTATCTGGCAGCTTTATTTCTAAATCTGTGTTTTTCTACATTCTACATGTACATTTCTGGAAGAAGTAAGCAGGCAAAATATTTTAGAACATACTTTGTGTTTCCTTGTCTGCATAGGTTCAGGAGCTGCAGGTGATGCTTCTGCACGCCCGTGGAGGAGTAGCTCCTGTACTCTCTGGGTAAGAGGGCAATAAAGGGGATTCACTGCGAGGCAATAAACCAGGCATGCAGGGCTTGACTCTTACTCTGGTTGTCGGCTTACAGGCCGAGCTCAGGAGAGGATGTTGGCAAGCTTTTAGAAAAGAACCGCGCTTTGCAAGAGGAGAACGGGAAGCTGTGCAGAGAACTGAGCGAGGCAGCAGGACAGACGGCCCTTATGTTCGAGAAGATCATTATGGTGAGTCGGATCACAGCAACACTCTTTCACAGTCGCTCTAAAGTCATTGTTTAAAGAAAATCAATTATGTAAGAGTTTAAAATGGATCAATGGGGGGGATAAAATCTTCATTTGTTTATTACTCTAACTGAGGCTTTTATTTTATAGAATGTTTTGAGATTTTGCTGTGCTGTGTTCTCCTCTGTTAGCGTTGACTCTTTTTGCGGCTGTTTTTCAGACCGAGCAGGCAAATGAGAGGCTGCAAAGCAAACTGAAGCAACTTGAGCAGCATGCGGCGTAAGTTCTACCCTAACGGCTTTTAGAGGATTGTAGCAATGCTTCCACAGACTCTGCAAAAATCCTGACTTTGATTCAAATACATTTGGAGGAATATGAGGAAAACAAAAACTTTTAGACTTCACTCATTATTCCCACTGTCAAAAACAATAACAATTTTTTACTCCCTTTTACGACGACTCTAGCTCTGAGTCATGCTAAACTCCTGTTCGCCTAAAAAACCTGGATCAGTGCATATGAGAAAAATCATGAATTATGAAAGGAACATTGGGCCACTGCTGCAGGTGTGTCCTGTACACAGATGAGCTGTGTCTCCAGGGTCACAACAAGCACCTGTAACTAAGGCTGAAACAATTGGATTAATCGTGATTATTGTAATAATCGTCAACTAATTTAGTAATTGATTAATCATTAACTGGAGAATGGAGACTAAAATGTTCCTTTAGCTGACAGAGGAACCCACTTAGAACAGTAATTATATCAAAATTGTAAAAAAAAAAAAAAAAAAAAAAAATAGGTAAACATTTTGCATTTAAGATGGGAAAAAAAAAAAAACATTCTGTGTCAATATGATCTATCCAGAACTCCTTTAGTGGAAAAGTTTTAGTTTCACCCGGTTTAATTTCATATAAAATCTTCTTTAACGAATATTTCGCTGTCCGACCTTTAATTGATTAATCAAAAAAAAAAAAATGTATCTACAGATGAATCGATTTGCAAAATAATCCTTAGTTGCAGCCCTAGTTGTATTGCTTTCATAAGTTTGTGGTGGATGTGAACAAACCAATTTAAAGAGTTGGGTATTTCTGCTGTATTTTCCCTGCTCCATCCATGTGCACCGATGCTCCTCTCAGTTCTGCAGCTTCTATATTTCAGGCCTGAGAGGGAAACCCTAAACGCTGACATGTAGGCACCCTCTTCTTTCTCAGCAGTCTGTTCATGAGCATGAGCAGCTTTATTCTAAACCCTTTAGTAGCTTCTTGAATAAAAAGATTTACCTCTAGAGTTTAATGTTTGTGATTTTTATCTATTAAAGGATTATTATTTTTTCTTCCATCTCCAGCTTATTTTAAAAACTTAAAAAATGGCTAACTTTAAAAGACTTCACTCAGTGGTAATTTCCTCGCCAAAGAATACTGTTTTAAAAATGTCAAATATTCATGTGAGTATTTTGGGGAAAAGAAAGTCCAATTATTAGTTTCATCAGAATCAGCAGAAAACCACAAGTCTAAGTTTCCCTCTCCACTGTCACTGTATGCATGCTCCCTCCTGAAAATTTCAGGAACACAACCCAAATGACTCTTTACCATCGCTACATGATCTTGTTAAGTTAGTGACTCACTCGATGCATTCTGCTGTGTTTCCTTAGAGCAGGGGTCTTCAAAGTTTTCCAGGCAAAGGACCCCCAAACTGATGGCGAGATGGAGCGGGGACCCACTAATTATATTTATTATATAAAATTGTGTTTTATCAAACTGGTCCTATAGTCACTCTATTGGTTCCCCGCTTGAAAGAGCTCCTGTGTGTCGCTGAATGTGTGCATTGATGACTGAAAGACATCTTCTGCCTCCATTTATGCAGAATTCAACACACTACAGTGTGTTGAATTCATGTTAATTTGTATTTAAAGACATTTCAATTAGTGGAAAAAATTGCAGGGAGAATATATATATAAAAAAAAAAAAAAAGTCTTCCCGACCTCCATGCAGTACCTCCATGGACCCCCTAGGGGTCACGGATCCCCTGTTGAAGACCTCTGCCTTAGAGGTTTTAATCAGTCTGTGATGAAACTGAAATGACTTAAAAGCGGCCTCACTGTAGTGCAGTTTGTAGCACTAGATTTTAAAGCGGGAAGATCTTGGGTTTGATTGATTTGATTCTTCCTCCTTCATGACTAGTAGACAGGGCTGTCAAAAAATATCAATACTCTGAAAGTATCAACATTCAAATGTTGTATCCAGGTATAAAAGTAATTTGGCAGCGTATGGACACTAAAGATGTTTGTTGAAGGTGTTGTTGGCGTGTGTGTATGTTGCCCTGTGAAAGACTAGTGACCCTGATAGATGGAATTTTTAATGTGAAATGTGGTAAACTAAAATGGTGCGATATAATTTATGTATCGTAAAATAGTCCGATCCTGATCCCCGGATGAATTTTAGTGCTGCTCTAATCAAACGCCACAATGACTTATTTCAACCTCTGTGTAGAGCATATTTTAGATTTAGGGTGAAGCCTTTACTTACCAAGCACTCCCTTTTTCCCACTAATTTCCCTGATCATAAATGCTTTAAGCCTTTCTCTTATTTCTTTTTAGATGTACGGTGGATCTTCAGAAGGTGCTGCAGACACTGGAGGACCAGGAGTTAAAGGAGAATGTGGAGGTGATGAAGAACCTGCAAGAGCTCATCCTTGAGCTGAAGGTACATGAAACAGCTTCCATTACAGCAAAGAGAGTCTGATCAGTGGGATCAGAAGCTTTAACTTTGCTCACATCTTTTTCTTGTTATTTTGGTTGTCAGAACGAGAGCGCCGGCATCTCTGCTTCCATCGAAGGCATGTCGCCCAGAGAGGAAGTACCGGAGGCGGCGGCTGTTGGCAGCAAAGATCCAACAGAACAGTCCTCATCTGTACGACTCCTCTTCTCCATCTTTGGCTTTGGATCGTTTTTAAACTCTACAATAATCCAAACTATTTTCCCCAAAGGATTCTCCCGAGGCTTTTACAGCCAATCATGCTCTGAGACAGGCCCAGCTGTCCAAAGAACTCATAGAGCTGAACAAGGTGTTGAGTCTGAAGGAGGCGTTTGTGAGGAAGATGTGTGAGAACGACAGCCAGCTGGAGCCAATGCAGTCAGAGCACAAGGTAAGACCGCAGAAAGAGCATAGCTCTCGTCAACAAAGGAACCGCTTCTTTTGACCCGATAATTTATTCTGCTCAACTTCTTATCCTGCAGAAAAATGTCCAAACTCTGCAGTCGGCTGTGGATTCTCTGCAGAAGGAAAAGGAAGAACTAGTTTTAGCGCTTCAATCAGCGAAGAAAGACAGCAACCAAGCAAAGTAGGACTAACGTTCTCTTCATATTGAGATGATCCTATTTAACAACAGTATAATGAGTTTACCAAAGACTTTGTTGAACTTCTGACCTGCATTGACCTCCTTTAGGCTGAGTGAACAGCGGAGGAAGCGACTACAGGAACTGGAATCTCAGCTCGTAGATATGAAGAAGAAACTTCTGGACCAATCTAAACTACTGAAACTCAAGGAATCCTCTGTTCAGAAAGTCAGCAAGCTAATGCAGGAGATACAGGTGATCAGTCTATGAATTTTAAAATGCTGAAGAAAAAGTCTCAGCTCTTTAAAATCAAGTTTTTCTCTATCTTTCCATTTTATTAAAAGGCTATATATGACATTGATCAAAATCTGAATTTGTTGTTTGTATATCAGCTGTCCTGTATGTCTGTGGAACGTCGTTTATTTGATCTGTTAAGGAAAACGCTGAGGTAAAAATGGATTGATAGAAATGGTAAACATTCAATCTGGTATTCCTATTGGCAAGGTGTAAAAGCAAATAGATAAATTAGTGTTAGGACACACAAATATATTATAACTTATTATATTTCATCCTTATCCCTCCTAAACTTGTTACCTGCCCGTGAAGTTTTTTTTCTTTCTAAACTTTAGCTTGTCACTGTTTTCCTTTTTTTCTTTAAACCAGTCACAAGTCATTTTGCCACCAAAGTTGTGAAGGAATTGATGAATGTAGTTTAATGCACCTTGAAGAGCAAAGACAATATAAGTACAGGACATTTACCATTTAAAAAGCTGAACTTAAGCCTTAGTTCATATCAGCATCCTGCAGAAGTATTTAAATGGTTTATACTTCAGTCTGGGATTGAAAGTGACAGATTAACTAATCAACACATATTCAGGCATAAATGAGAGAAAAATTGTAGTTTAAAACAGTTCAGCAAACGGCTGTCAATAAGGAGAACGTTATGAAGAATATGGAGGAGTTTGAAGCGGGGTTTCAGTTCAAAAAACTAAAGTTCTAGTTTTGCTCATCCCTTCATCTGAAAATTGAACATGTTTATTAGCATGCAAACTTAGGAGGAACATCTAAACCAGGGTTATCAAACATTCGTGTGGCTGCGGGTTTTCAACCAATAAATAGCAAACCAGACTCCAGTCATGTCATCAAGTGAGTCCAGTCCTAACATGATGACTTGATAAGATGAATGGAGTCTAGTGTGCTATTGCTTGGTTTGAAAGAAAATCTGCAGCCACACGACCCTTTCTGGAACCAGTTTGACCCCCCTGATCTAAACGGACCAACCGGGAGAGGAGAGCTTCATGGGAAGCTGAATGGGGTGCTGGGGTGTAGCTAAATGAGAGACACTTAAAGAAAGTTAGTTTTAAGTTCATTTAGTTTTTCAGAAGCTGTTACTCGCTCTAGATTCTCTCTGTTTTTTGTTTTTCATGTTTTATGTTTGCAATATTAAACTGCTGCATCTTTACATAGTTGCTGTCTATGAACTATTCTCTACATGCAGTCTGCTCTAAATCTCCCTGCTGGTGCTCTATGTGAAATCCTAAATTCTAATCACTGCCTGGGCTCTTATAGGCCATGAAGACGCAGCGGATTCAGCTGATGAAGCAGATGAGGGAGGATGCTGAGAAATACAGGCAGTGGAAGAGCAAGAAGGACAAGGAGGTCCTGCAGCTGAAGGAAAAGGTCTGGAAAAGATTAAATCAATTCTGGAGAGAAGAGCTCCTCCTCACAATGTTTGTTTTTTCTTATCTCTCGCCTTGCAGGACCGTAAGCGGCAGTACGAGCTGCTTAAACTGGAGAGAGATTTCCAGAAACAAGCCAATGTCCTGCGGCGTAAAACGGAAGAGGTGAACTTTCCCTGTTTGTGTCCGGGAGCGTTCCCACTTCAGCAGCTGGTCCGCTTCATACTAAGCCGACTGTTGTTCCATTGCAGGCAGCAGCTGCTAACAAAAGACTGAAAGATGCCCTGCAGAAGAGAAGTGAAGCGGCAGAGAAGCGCAAAGATCACCAGAGCAGAGGCATGGAGGGAGCTGCAGCCCGAGTTAAGGTAGTGGGACACGTTCTGGTTTCACTTAGGAACGCATTTCTAGATCAACTGAAGTCACAGTTTTTCTCCTCGTTTTTTTTGCGCCAGACATGGCTGCTCAACGAGGTGGAGGTGATGGTGAGCTTAGAGGAGGCTCGGCGACACCTCAGTGATCTGCTGGACGACAGGAAGGTCCTGGCACAGGAGATCAACAACCTCAAACAGCAGATAGATGCTGGAGAGAGACCTGCTCCTAAAATCCGGGTAGGTTGAGCCCCCTTTAAAAAAAAAAGTCAAATAATAAAAACATGAAGAAGAAGAGCAGGAAGGATTTCATCCTTTTGTTTCTGTAGCGCCGGACGCTGATCATCTCAGAGCTGGAGACCCGGGGGGCGCTGGAGACCCCTCTGTCCAAACAGGTGGAGAACCTGGAGACAGAAATGGGCCTCAGGTGAGTCCAGCTAACCACAGAATGCCCGACCCCATCCCATTACAGACTGGATTTATAAAAACGCGGTTTGTTTCCGCTCAGAAACGCACAGATAGCCGACCTGCAGCAGAAAGTACTGGTCGCTGACGGCGAGGGGCGTCTGAAACAACGAGTCGACACTCTCACCAGCATAGTGGAGGCCAAGAGCGCCGTTCGGGTTCTAATGGCTGAGGTAAAAAAAAAAAAAAGCTGATCAACTGGGAGCTTTTTCACACCCAGCATTCACTATAAGCTTTTCTCACATTTTTCATTTGTTTCTAGTTGGTCTCGGCTAAAACGGCATGCTCCAAGCTGGAGAGCGAGCTAAAACAGGAGAAAGGAAACTCCCAAGATTTAAGGAAGATGCTGGCGGAAGAGAGAAACGTGATGTCCACCATGGACATGGAGCATCAGCAGCAGCTGGTGGAGCTGGAGCAGAGGCACCAGGAAAAGGTGACCCGTGCGTTCAGCCGGGAAGGTCGCTCCCACCTCCGCTCGCTGAACCTTTCGTTTGTTCGTTCCTCTGCAGGTTCTTTACCTGCTCAACCAGCTGCAGAACAAACCCATATGTGAGGAATCCGAGGAGACGAGGCAGGAGGAGGAGACGAGCAGCAAAGAGAGAGAGCTTCTACAGCGCCTCAAAGTTCAGGTTTGGCAACATTTGTTTTTTTTGTTTGTTTTTTTGCTAAGTCCTTCTTAAAGTACTAAAATGTTTTTGTGGTTTTAGGAGGAAGAGCTTGAAAAACTACGGACTTTAAGTGAACAGAACCAGAAATTAATGGAGCAGAACGAGGAGTACAGACAGGTGACCCCCCCTGACCTCTTGATTGATTAGCTTATTTTAACGTTAGAACAAAATCAAAATCTGTCAGATCACCAAAGAAAAAAAAATCTGTTCAAATACTGCAAAAACGATCTGAGTAAAAAAAAAACTCTTAAAATAGGAATTAGGGTACAGGTATTTATAAGATGATCTGCCAATGGAATGAGTATGTTTAGCCTTAGTCGTTGTTTTTTTGTTATTCTAAATGTAATTTGTCATATTTATTGGCAAAGTGTCTCAGTTACTTCCTCAAATCAAGAAAAAAATGCACTTAAAGGTATAGTGGAGAATTTTTGCAAATTTTTCAAAAGACCGTTCTCTCTACTTAAAAAAAAAAAAATGCACATGCAGAGACCTTTACACGCTCCTGAGAGGGAACGCCTATTAAATGCGTGCGAGAGCATGCACTAGCCCATTTCTCCTTGTGCACACTCTGTTAGCTGTTTGCATCGCTCATACAAGCTTACTTCCCTAAAGAAGATTAGCAGTTTTTCCACTATGTCGGACTCACCAGCAGTAAGTAAAAATGGGGACGAGCACGTAAGACGGCCTTACATAAAAATATCACCAAAATGATTGACAATTAGGAGGACCACTTATTTTGATGTTCCCCCGGATAAAGAACTTCTTCCACTATACCTTTAATTTAAGATGACTTAGATTTCAGTTCAGTAAATGGATCAAAGGCGTAAATGATTTCCTTTCCAATGAGCCTCCTATCCTAGTAGATGGCATTATGCAGGCTTTGGTTTCTTATCAGTCAACCAAAATGAAGTGAAAGCACAATGTTAATCCACCTAGCTAATGTTTGCTAGCTTCTAATAATCTTTAAGAGTAAACAAACTGATGCAAAGACTTAACAGTAGGAGTCCCAGAATTCTTATCCTACTGGAACTCCCACTGGCCGTCGGATGACATTTTTCCCAATGGTTTGCATGAGTCTTGATGATGTCATCAACTGAGATGGTTCTAGTGTGCGATATAAACCTATTGTGGATATGTAAATCTTAAAACAGGTCTAAGATGTATTTTTCAAAGGCTGTATTGTTCACTATTATTATTTGTGTTCTAAATTTGTATTAAAAAAAAAAAATCCATAGAGTAAGATTGTTTTACTAAACAGGTTAAAAGTTTGAAATTAAAATTTTATTTACAGAAATTGATTGATTCTCCCCAAACATTTCCTGCAGATGACCTTTTCACATTTATGACAAACGTAATATGAGCGTTTTTTGTGCAGCGCTGAAGCACCTTGCGCTGTTTTCTGTGCCTCGGAGGGGCTGGAAACCTGCGGTTTTGTTTTATCTCCTGCTTTTACTGTTTTACCAGTTCCAGAATAAAATATCTGCGCGAAAAAAGTGACTTTCAAACAGCTCCTAAACAAAACCACTGCGTTTATAGCTGATATTTCCAGGAGATCATAAATTACAGCCACAGGCCGCCTTCGCGTTGGAGCTTTTACATAATCCTTTCTAATCATCTGACCCGACACATCCACCCTGACCTTTGTGTGGTTATAGTAGACTGCGGGCTCTGGTTTGGCTTTTGGGCCACTGAGTGTACCGGCTGAGGTGTGGGCAGTGCTTGAACAAAAGTTTCACTATTGTCTGATGGGTCACTGATACGTCTGTGTTTTCCCGAGGATGTTTGATCATCCTCGGACTCGCTTTAGAATCTGAGCCACTTCCTCCCTAGTCCTCCTCATCGGTCTGTCCTTCTGTGCCCGAATTGCTATCATCAATATTTTGAAGGGTTTCTAAAGCCTGTGACGCTGTAAGATTTCTTCTGAGAGCCATTTTTTCGTATTAGCCAAAGAGTTCTAGGTGGAATGTTGAGTGCTATGCAACTGTACCGAATGTCAATCAACCAGGGGAAGAATTTACAATGCAACCTAAAGAGCCGTTGCATTGACGAGGTAGAATTAACCATATTTATTTTTTTGTTTTAAAACTACGTGAAAATGAAGGAAATATAGAAACAGAAAAAGGTAAATTAATATGAGCAACGTAAGATTAATTTTAGATATAGTTCTTTCCCTTTAAAATCTCAGAACCGTCAAAATGACGGCCTTGGGAGTTCTAGTGTTAAACTCCTGTCACACCTTGCTGATGTAAACAGCGTATGCCTGACATCGCAGAATCTCCCAAAACGCTGGCATACGCTGAAGTTTCTTTGTATTTTTTCAATTTTGGGCGTATACATAGAGTATTCATAGCGAATCCAGAACTTATGTCCAACGACAGCCTTACTTATTAATAACGCACAGCAGCGTAATGCCCATGAAGTAATGCGCTATTATACAGTAGCTGTAAGTTAGAAACACGTTCAGCGGCTGCTGCAACACGTCGAATACTTTGATATGCGTTGAAGATAAGTTCTTGCCAGATTTTCGGTACGTCAGGCATACGCTGGCTACATCGTCAAGGTGTGACGAGGGCTTTATGAAGAAGAATCTATAATGAATGAACAGGAGCATCCAGAGACTCTCAGGGACCCTAAAGAGCAAAGTCTCCCCAGTATGTAGTTTGACTCAGTCTCTAGGGGGAAATGAGGCTCAGTTTATGTGACCGGGAAGAACTTCTAAAGATTGGATCAGAATCTTCTGCTTGGTTCTGTTCTGGGTCTAAATTGGATTTGTGTTGGCTTTGTTTCCACCGTTAGAAACTCTCGTTGCTCCACTTGGCCAGTGAGAGGAAACTTCTCCTGCCAGTAAACAAGTCTGACAGGAGCCCAGATGACTCGTTCGAGTACGTTCCTCCAAAAGTGAGTATATATAATCCTGTTCTTTGGGATCAGTGTTTAAAAAGCCAAACTTTGTTTTAACATAAATTAACTCTATAATCTTAAGTAGTTAAATCTTGAATTGATTCTCTTTCTTTATTTTTTTCCCCCTCCTAAAAAAAAACAAAACAAAAGCCCAAGCCGAAGAAGCAGACCACTGCTAAAGCAGCTGTGAATACAACCATCAATATAGCAGAGCTGCTGTCACCCAGCGAGGACGAGAAAGAGGAGGAGGAAATGGACGAGTGGCTTCCTCTGAAAGGAAGGAGAGCATCGAGGAAAACTCGGATGACTGGGGTAAGACTGGGCGGGAATCCATCGTCTGTTTCTAGAAGGAGACAAAGAGATCAAAGTTAATCTTAGAAAGGCTTGGAGTCATAATGCAGAGTCGTACCTTTTCCTCAGTGCGCCTGCAAAGGACGCTGCGGAAACAAGCAGTGCAGGTGTCGCAAGGGGAAGATGACGTGTGGAGAGAACTGCCTCTGTGACCACGAGAAGTGTCGGAACCTGGATAATCAGGGGAAGGCTGAGGTGAGGCACCAGAACCTGTATCTGTTAGCATAAATCTAGTAATATTGAGGTAACCCCATGATAAAGCCGTGTCTTAGTACTCCATTGACTTGTTTCAGGATGCAAGTCTTGCAGATGGAATTTCAAGAGACTCTGCATCTCTGCAGGAGCCATCCTGTGACAGCCCTGACAATGCCACCTTCTTCAAGCCTCCATCTTGCACCCCCACAACCAAGGTAAGCCTCCCGAAGGCCGAGCGACAGGAAGCAGATACTCAGCCGCTTCTGCAGCATTTCAGCTTTAAAACTTCTCCATAGTTGAGCTGTCTGCTGCGTTGCTGGGTCTTCACGATGCTGGATGTTCTCTGACAAACCTCTTATAGCTTTCATAGAACCTCTGGATGTTTTTAATCCTGTTTCTGTAGGTGCTGAAGGAAATCGGGGACATGGGCCACAGCACTGCTGATCTGAAGCTGGTTAGGAAGCCCAGCTTTACAGATGAGGACGAAGGTGAGGAGGACGATAATGAGGAGGACAGAACAACGGTCAGCTTCCTCAAGAAGAAGAAGCGGCTCCTCACCAGTTTTCAGAACAGTTTCTTCTCTGGCTGCACTCCCATTAGAGAGGAGTCCTAATCCGGCTAATCTTAGGGATTTTTTTTTCCTTAGGTTAAGTGTCTTTTTCTCTGTTTAGATTATTTGTTTGTCTTTTTTTATGTGTCTAGATTGTTTTGTATTGTATCGTGAAAGTAGCTGAAGAGATGAGCTCTTATTGATCTTCATAGAGGGACATTTTCTGGGATTCACAGAGGTGATCTTGTACAGAACTTTTATTTCTCCACGATTTCCTTTACTAATATTGAAAATCAGTGTGAACAACACTCAAGGTTACCAGTAGCGGTTTTTAATCTCTGTATGCTATTTTAGTAAATGCTTGAAATAGAGTTGAATAAAGTCTTAAAATCACATCAAGATTCGAATAAGATCTCCTGAAATATTTGATGACTAACCACTAATGGGGAAGTTTTTTAATCCAATTTATAACTAATTCTGAGTTAAACTCAAGCAAAAATACAACTTGCCTTTATATTTTAAAATGTTTTCTTTTTCTGTTTTTACATAAGTTTATGACTAATTCAGATTAGTGATAATTTTTCGGTGTCTCCTGAAGTTTTGTGTTTTAGTGGATGAAACCTGAACTTCACAGCACCCTTTCTTTCTAAGTCCATCTCCTGGGAGAACTTGAAGCTCAGCACCATTATTACTTGAATCAACATTAATTTCACCATCTATCTGTTGGATAACATTTTTAATCTCAGATGAATAAACTTGTAATTCTTACTAACAGGCTCAGTCTTTGGCTATGGTTTACTGAAGTTTAAAGGTATAGTGCAGGATTTTCGTGACTTGTTGAAAAGACCTGCCCTCTCCACTTAAAAAAAAAAAGTGCACATACACAACCCTGTACCCGCTCCTGAGAGCAAACGCCTATTAAACTCGTGCAAGAGCGTGCACAAGCCCATTCCTCATGCAAGCTCTGTTTAAAAGCTGCTGTTTGTATCAATCATACAAGCTTACTTTCCAAAAGATTTGCAATTTTTCCCACTATGTCAGACTCACCACCAGTAAGTGAAAATGGGGATGAGCACGTAGGACGGACTTACATAAACATATCACCAGAATGAGTGACAATCATGAGCACCACTTATTTTGATGATCCACCCGGATACCTTTAAGGTGCAGATTCAATTACCTTATAATTAAATTTATCATGTTTCTTCTGTCATACTTGATTGTAAATTAATGATTAAGAAGCCTTTTTATGTTGGAATTAAAATGTTCTCTGGTTTAAAGCTTAATTCTGTTACAAAACCTTGAAATTGAAGCAGAACATTTTTTTAAAGCTACCTACTAATGCTAAAAAATTAGCTTTAGGTAGCATTGTAAAGCCAACCAAATGGTGTTAACTTGAGAGCAGTGAAAATGTGTTCAGCTCCTTTGGCACAAATCAAGTTCCGGCAGACATGGATGAGAGTTTGATATGGGAAGAACCTGAATGATCTGCAGATTCCTGATTTCATCCCATCTTTGGGATTAAAGGGTGGAATACGAACCACACTTTCTCCTCCAGCATCTGACCTCTACAATGTGTTTGTGGAGGAGAGGTCAGCGATCTAAACCCTCTCATAAAATGTTGTGCAACATGTTCCCAAAATAGGATGGGCTGGCATCATAAACCCTGTGGATTAATAATGAGATGTTGCTCAACTTTATACTAGTGTAAAAAGCAAAGTCTTTCCAGTTAGGAAAAAGAAACAGCCACCCATTACTAACAATGTAAGGTTATTCTAAAACTACAGTTTTTGGATTTATCCATATCTTTTAAATAAAGTTAAGGACTAAAGCAGCAGACAGCCTTGCTAGTTAATTAGATATCAGCCTGTGCTTTGATTTTTAAAAAGCAGGATGACAAATATTCCTTTGATTATGGACAATATGCATACAGGTATTTAAAACTGGTTGCATTTTAAAGATATTTGGGTGCACTATTGCTTTTCATCTGAAAGCAGGCTAACAGGAAAAAGGTGTTAGAAAGAGAAGCAACAAAGTTTGACAGGAGCAGATGGCCTCCACATGGGTTACTAACTCAGCACTGGTTGTTTTTGCCTTAGTTTATGTAATAAAATACGTAAATATTTGTTTTTTTACAAAAATGTTATTTTAACAACTGTTTTGTTGCTTCCTGTGTTAAATCCAAGTAGATCACATAAGAGAAATCTGATTAGTTTGTTGAACTATAGTTATAAATTTCCATTTCCCTGATTGGTTCCTTGAGTAAGATCCTAATTATGTTTGACGAAGAGGGAATCTCGAAATACTCCCACCCCCCCAATTTAAAGTTTAAATATCTGCCCTTTTTTAGAGAGGTAAACATATACTGGTTACTGCAGATCCTGCTCACTTTCCCCTGCAATGTGTGCAGATGAGCAGTAGAGGGCAGGAGTTGTCAGATGCTCGCTGCACCTCTAAAGGTTTCAGTTAAATACAATTCTAACATTCTAACATCACATTTATTTTATTATAACAGTAGTTGTATATATATATATATATATATATATATAGATTCTCATCAGCATTGAGATGAGAAACATTTTTCTTATTCCAACTGACATGCAAACTAGAATGAAATATTTCTTTGAAAGTATTACAACCATTTCTCTTTTTTTTTTAGTAATAAGATGTCCAACACAAACTGTAGACTTTTGCAGCTCCTGAGTTTTTCTAAAACCCTGGGCTGTATCTGTGATCCATGCTATCCTTAGCTGACCTGTTAGTTTAGGCTGATGCACATATATCTTGCTAGGTTTGCTCTTTCCTTTTTCTTGGACGATGCCAAGAAGTTGGGATAATTCTTTAAATCTCAAAACATTTCTATTATGTTCTTTTCTTTTGCCTTCCTCCTGCTTAAACAGGTAGTTTAAATGAGCAAATCCTGAGACTTGTGGTTTTAATAGTTTGGACTGGGTTTTATTCAGGGGTTATTGGCCTTAAAGGTCCTGAAATCAAATGCACACCACACTTTTCAGATTTATAGATAGTGGAAAAAAATGTCTTTCACTTGGTGATTGTGCACAACTTCATGGTTGCTTGTCACAATTAATCTGAAGTACATTCTAGTGTGTTTTACTGATAAGTTGTGGAGAGGTTTAAGAGTTAGGAACACATTTACCTCACATTTAACTCATGTCAGACATTATTTTTACAGAGGAAAACTGAATCAAAATAAACCAAAGTCTCTCTGGGTAGATCTTGTAGCTACCCTTTTTTTTTTTTTGCATTAACCAGGTTTTTGAAAAATCTGATTAATTACTTCTCATTCTTTTGTTTTAAGCCTCTCAGTAACTTTTGCTACAACTGAACCAAAGTCCAGAATCAGTTAAAGGAATTGTAAAATAAAGCTGAGATGGGAATTACCACAAAATACAAAACCAAGTTGCAGATAAAGATGCTTTAAACCTGAATTAGTCATTAAACTCATGGGATATACAACCCTAAAGAGTCAATCATTTCTGAAATAAGCTCATAGAGCTGCATGTGACACGATGCATGAGTGTTCAGCGAGCGGATGTAGATATCTGATCTAAATTGCTTTTGGAGTTATCATGACCTTCGTCACTGTCAAAGCTGCAAGGAAAGGCTTTATCTGGAAGGCAGAACTGCTGGAAACACTGGACTCTGTTCTCAAATTTACCAATCCCTTAAACTGCTTAGATAAGATAGCCAAAATGTAGGAATAAAAAAAAGATAATATATCAGGTATAAGAAGAGACGTGTCAGCACGCAATTAGTTTTTAACTAAAGCGTTACAATAAGGAAAAGTAAAACACAATAAAAGAAAGATTAGTATAAATAGAGCATAAGAAAAAACAGGTTTCATGTTTCTTTTATTGTTTTAGATTAGTTCTGTTATGACTCTATTAGGTGAAAACAAACAGACCTTTACCCCTTGTATTCAAAGGAAATGAAAAGGCGAAAATCAGTTGGGATTTAGTTTTTAAGTTTTTATTCTACTGGTTTAAAACGCTGCAGCTTGCATTGTTTTCCAAGCAGTGATTTTTGCTGCAGTTTCTGTTGTTTGCCATGGTGAAGCTTCCCTACATTAAAACTACTAATTCATTTCATGGAATACACCTCCGATTAGCTGTGAGGGGAAGGGAAGCAATAAAAAGTTCACTTTTTTTGTCATAAATGCCGATCAGAAAATGTGGCATGAATATATAGTCGTCCACTCTACAGCGGACGGAGCACCAGTCGAAGACCTGTTTGCACTTTGCATTTAGAACATGGACACATGGTGGAAAAGGCTGCAGTCTGATGAGAGAAGGAATGTTATCTTTTATGCCAATGCGAAAACTGGTATCTGTGGAAAACGAAAACAAAATAACACAATTGCCGCTTTAATACAGAATTAGTATCATGCTGTGGGGATGCTTTTCTTTAGATGATGAAAATCATTGCAGTATAAATCTGTTGGAGGCAGCAGGTCTGGGTTGGAGGTTCTCCTTCCAGCAGGACGAGAGTCTTCAAAGTACACTCAGGGCTGCCGTGGAATGGTCTAGTCAAAGTCTGGACTTTTGGAAGAGGTGTTGAACTTTGTAATTGATGTTCATAGACATTCTCACTGTGAACTATAGTTATATTACTATAGTTATGGAGCTGTAGTTATTTTACAAAAAAGAATGGAGACATAAAGGCAACAGATTTAGGTTCTGCGGATTATTTATCAACAAATACACACCTCAGATTTCAGATTTAGGTTTTTATTCTTTATTTTTCTTTGAGGTTTTTACGGCGCTGGTGTCTCATTTTTTGTACAGTGGGCTGATAGGAAAGGGGGTACGACAGAGGGGGAGACATGCAGCAAAGGAACACAGGTCAAGGACTAAGGAGTCCATACATGGGTCATGCACGCTAACCACTGCGCCACTAAAGCGCGCCTTCAGATTGAGTTTTAAAAAAAACAACACATTTAGAAAACTGTATTTTCCACTTCTCACATAAGCCTTGCTTTGTCCTGGTCTTTTATTTCTCTCATACCTTTGCGAGATTCTGTAATCTGCTTGTACCAAAGGTGATTCCTGCAATCTTTAAAACAGCGTTTAACCTTTTATTGTATTATATTATTATCTAATCAGGCTCCATTGCTACAGATTACATTTTTCTTTTTTTGCTTCCTCATGTACCATTGCTTCACACCTTTAAGTTCTGCTTCCATCGAACCAAACTGCAGCTAGAGTGGATTTTTTTTCCTCTGTAAAAATAACTCTATGCAAATATTCAGTTCACTAACCACTGTTTAATGTCTCCAATTTTTTTAAAGAGAAGTATTTCTATAGTGCTACGAGAGGTTCTGAATACATTTATATTGATGCAGGGGGACAATAGAGATGTACTTGAGGGCCCAGCC